AGCCCATTCTCTGAGTCACTCAGCCCGTGAAAGCCTTGCCTAAGCCGGTCCCACCCAGCCGACTTTTTGTTTGTGTTTTGTTGTTGTTTGTGGGGCTGGATATGGAACTCAGGCCCTGTGTGTGTCAGGCAAGGGCTCTACCCCTGAACCACAGGCCAGTCCACGTAGCTCAGGCTGGCCCCAGCCTTCTGGGGGTGGGGATTATAGACAGGCACAACCACACATGACACAGGGGACTTCAGAGTAAGTGGAGAATCTGAGGGTAGGATGTGGCAAGGCTGAGGCTCACACACAGGAGGAAGGAAGTGGAATTAAACGCTAAGGAAAGCCTTTAATGAAAGTGTTCTTTCTTTCAAAACTTTGCCTGGATGGTCACCTTTGGAAACTGAGCTCTGTGACTTCCCTGAGTCAGCTTTGCTCAGTTTTCTCCCATGAGTTTGTGGAAATCTTTCCGTTTTCCTATTCCAGAATGCGTGCCAGGTATGGACATCTGACAAATGTGTTTATGAATTGGGGAAATGATGGTCTCTGAAGAAACAGAAGAGTCGGAAGCGGCTCCCCTTTTACACATACATTAAGCTCAGTTTTTGGGAAACTACAGACCTCAGTGGGTTGGAAACCAGGACCTCATGCACGCTAAGTAAGTGTTGTGCCACCGTGATATAGAGGAGCACCTGGCTTGCCTCCTCCTCCTCCCTCCCCCCTCCCTCCTCCCTCCCCCTCCCTCCCTCCCCCCTCCCCCCCTCCTTCCATCCTGCAGCACTATGTCCATTTATACTACAAGTCTACTTTCTGAGTGAGACTCACTCACTTGAAAGGTCTCACTGTGTGGCCCAGGCTGGCCTGGGACTTGCTCATCAACTCAGGATAGCCTTACCGGTGTGACTCCCCGCCCGTAGGCTTGGGTCACCACATGCATTAAAAACAACTTTCGATATACTTATTGTGTGTGTGTGTGTGTGTGTGTGTGTGTGTGTGCGCGCGCGCGCGTGCGTGTATCACTTTTCTCCAACCATGGATGGAACTCAGTCACCAGGCACTGCAGCCCCCTCCCCCTTTCGGGCTGAGCCCTCTGACTGACCCCTCCAGTGCACATCTGCTCTTAGAGTGTGGTCTTTAACTTACAGAGGGAGGCTGCTTACCCTGGCGAAGGCTTGGGCACGTTCTGCTCGCCACATCTCACTCGGGTGAGCCCAGAGGCTGACCTACGCTGTCAGGTGTGTTTAAAGAGGATATGCGTGCAACGACAAAATTGCCCGATGATGTATTTCCCAGTATGCTGTGTTAATTGATAATTGTATAATTGCACTGCTACACACCCACCGGAGTGGCGGAACTTACACAGCCAACTGAAGACTGGTGAAGCCGTGGGGGAGAAACAAGAATTCACGCCGCCCTTCTGATGGGTCTGAAATGGCATAATCACGTAGGAAGCCGGTCTGGCATTGTTAGTGGAAGCCGAATGTATCTGGGCTCAGTTAGGGCTTGCTTGGCATGCACAATGTCCTCCCTTTGGTCCAGGCATTGATGTGCACACACCCCTCATCCCAGCCTTGGGAAGAAGACGCAGGAGGACCACAAATTTGAAGTCATCCTCAAGTACACCGAGAGTCTGAAGCTAGCCTGGGCTACATGAGACCCTGCCTTGAAACAAAGTGAAATGCCAAGTCGTATTTCAATGTCCTAGCAATTCCGCCCCTAAGCACAACCAAGAGTAAACTGTTTCTGGTGTTCCAGGAGGGTGCTCGGTCCTACCCTGATTTTAGAAGCAGCAACAGAATAATGCACACGTCCATCCACAGTAATATTTATGGGAAGGAGAACTCATGCCCACAACACCACAGTGAGTCTTAGAAGTCCCACCACAAGCTGGGCGGTGGCACACACCTTTAATCCCAGCACTCGGGAGGCAAAGGCAGGTGGATCTCTGTGAGTTCGAGACCAGTCTGGTCTACAAGAGCTAGTTCCAGAACAGCCTCCAAAGCCACAAAGAAACCCTGCCTCAACCTCACCCCCCAAAAAGAGGAAGCCCACCACAGAGGTTGGAACAACGTGTCTGATTTTGTATACGTGTGAAGACAGCAAGGGCTGTGTTTGGTGTTTCTGTCTGTAAGGTTTAAAAGCAGCACAGATGTTGTGTGGGATCCATAGGACAGGTTAAGGGTATCAGCAGCAGGGAGGTCTTGGCCTGGGTCAGCTCTGTATGGGGGCTGGGCACTGAGGATCCTGGTGCCTGGTCCTCCCGCCTTCTCTGCCCTTCAGGCTTTCTTCCTGTTGTCCCCGAGGCTCTTTCCTATCCCGGAGTTTTCTCAATCCTGCCCGACTCTGCTCAGCTCTCTCAGTGGCTCTGTCTGCCTCCTTCCCCAAACCCTCTCTCTCTTCCTCATTCTTTGAGCCTCGCCAGCGGGTCTACCTACAACCTTGATGGAGGAGACACTTGGAATCTCAACCAACAAGCTTCTGATGGAACTCACTCCTTCCCTTGAGCCAACCTCACTCTGGACATCCTTGCTAACCAACAGGAATCTCTGACACTCTGGGCTACAAAACTCCACTTTGTCCTGCCAGGGCACCCAGTGCCACTGTTACGCTCCTGCTCACGCTGTGTGCCAGGCACTGTTTTCCACAAACACGCAGTTACACACGCTTCTCTGTAGTGCGGTGTATCCGCACTCTGGGTTTCCTCAGTGGTTCCCGCATAGGCAGCATTCTGATTCTATCTAGCAGAGGAGAACTGGAAGTCCAGAAGGAGAAGCCCTTCACACCCTGTCCCCACCCTGAGACTTCACCCTGGGCTCCTTCATTCCCTGTCGGTGCCTGAATGCAGCACCTGTGCCCACTGCCTGTGTCCCTGCGTCCTCGCTGGTGTCCCATCTACATCCTTCAACATGATGTACCTTTAACCCTCTGTCCATGGAGATTTCCCCCTAAGCACCTTAGCTCATAGAGACCTCATCACCGGGTACCGCCAACCTCCTCCGCGCTCCTGCTCCACTGAAGACACTTGCATTGCCCTCTTGTGCCTCTAGGCCTACAGACAGACAGACAGACAGACAGACAGACAGCTCTTTGCCTCTGAAGCCCCACTGCCCCCCCTTTCTGCTCATCGGATCGCCGCACTTGAAGCCCTCGCTTGTCTGCAGTGTGCTCATGGCTGCCCAGGAGGTTCGGCACCATCTTTGTGCTCATTTTCAAGCCCTTGTGTGTTCTGTTGCATCTTTCTGTGAGTTGCTGCCCTGCTCTGCTTCTTGAGGGCAAAGGTATGGCTTTATGCTTGAACCAGCCTTCCCTCTTAATGCTGGCCATATTGGGGCAGAGGGCGGCTTATGTACCTGGCAAATGTAGGTGTACAAAAAAAAAAAACCTCACAAACCTTGGTAAAACACACTTTGGAAGGAGTAATTTGGACTCTGCCAGGGATGGTGTCTGTGGTGTCAAAGAACAGGAAGGGTTAAAAAAAAAGAAATGGAACCCACTGCATGTTGTGCCTTTGCTGCCAGCTGCTGGAGACAGATTCCCCTCCCCCCTGCCCCAAATCACTGCCACAGTCACTTTGACTATACCCTGCACCAACCTTCATTTTCTTCCAGATGGCTGCTCCCATGTTTAAGGTCCCCCTTCCCTTCCTGCTTATGGGGCGGTCAGGAAGTGCCACCCTTCAAACATGCAAGTGTCCCCTAAGAATTTGATGAACCAAGGGCTCTGAAGGACGAGCAGACTCTACCCTCCTGGCCTTCCGAATGCAGCCCACAGATTCCCCTCCTATGGCGCACTCGGAAGAGACCCGAGCCAGCCCATCAACAGAGAAGTCTGCGCAAATGGACCTCAGGACAAAAACCCTTATCTTCCATGAGCAATTCCCGTCTGTTTCTGACCCTAAAACCCAGCCCCTTGTCTTTTCGGGTGGCTTCTTCTCCACTGTATACAGGCACGGGATGAAAGGGCGCACACGCCCTGGGGTCACACACACCCTGGGGGTCACACACGCCCTGGGGGTCACACCTGGGGTTCACACCTGGGGTTCACACACGCCCTGGGGGTCACACCCCACTCCTGCAGACTCTTCAGCTCCTTTCTTGTGAGACATCATACACATGAAATTTAAAACACCAACAAAAACTATATATGCTTTCCCCCTTCCCCACCAACTGGTCTTTTTTTTTTTAATCAGTTTAATATGCAGGCCTCCTTATACCTATAAACCAGGGTAGGGGCTTTGCTGTGACTACTGGTAGACAGTCAAGCCATTCCGGAAGGAACTTGAAGTGACTTCGCGGTGGGAGAGACCAGGCTCATGCCAAGCACTCGCCTCCCCCTTCTCATGTTAGCGTCCGAAAGTTGTGCTCTGCCCGTTAAGCACCCACGGAGCCCAAGGGTTACTGAGCCCTGCTCAGGTCGGCTTCCTATCTTTGCAAAGGTCTCAAGTTGCAAGCCCGTTAAGGAGCAACTCGAACCCAGGTTCCCAGGAGGCAGGGCACTACAGCAAGCCAGCGCAGAAACTGGCCTCTCTCTCGGGCCACCTGTGGCACCCAGCCCTGAGACTACCGGTATTAATCGGGTATTAATCACTCGGTAGTCTTGGCTGAGGACGCAGAATTGCGTAAGTAGGCTGTCCTGGGCAGGCTCCTGGGCTCCATTCCACCCGGGCTGACAACCCATTCACGATTCTACTACTGGGGTCTGAGTCCCCTGCCCAGATCTTGGGGAAGGAACCAGAGAGCAAATCCTGAACTTGTTGTGCGAGTCCAGGGGCAAAAAGGGAGAGGGCGGGAGTTTGTTTCCCTAGTGACGAGCGCAGTCCACATCAACAGGGGACCTTGAAAGACACTTTTCAGGTTTGCCAACCAGAGGAGTCCAAGTCGGAAAAAAATAATGGGCTTAAGGCGTACCCATTCCAGAATTAACATTCTTGCTGTGGCTCAGTGAGCCCACGGCTCCTGTTACTAAGCTTGCCAGATGTGAAGACAGAAGGTTCCCTGGCCCCCTTCAGCCCTGCTCACCTGGAAGGCTGCGTTGCTGCAGCCGTGGTTCCCTTCGGTGGTTGGCTTCAGCTCCATGCTCCCCTCGCTGCCACTGGGCTGAGCATTCTTGCCCCGTTCTGACCTGGACATCCTTGGCTGGCCCGAGAGTGAGCACCGCCTCTGCTATGTCAGAGGGCCACCTGCTGCTGCCTTCAGTTTGGAAACCCTTCCAGAAACCTTTTAAATGACTTGGGCTGGAACCTGGTTGGGGTGGGGCAGGCGGGGCGGGCAGGAGGGCGGGGTGAAGCCTCTTTTTGAGCAGGTCCACCCCCTTCCTCTTTCCAGGGATGCCCAGCATAGACTTTCCATCACAAACGGGAACCTCCGTTTTTCTCTGTAGTCCTTTGCAAAATCGCCTACTTCCTGTGGATGGCACTGGGGGCTAGGCAGGTGTTGCTGTGCCGATGCCAGGCACGTGATGGACACAACACGCGTGACTTTGTATTCTGCCTGGAGAAAGACAGTAAAAGGATGATGAGAATCAGATGCGGGTCTGGCCTGAAAAATCTTTCTCTGCTCCCTGCTTCAGACTGAGGTTTTCAAAACCCCAAGAATAGAAGTGCAGAGGTGTGCCTCATGAACGGGAGGAGATTGACTGTGTACTCCCTAATATTTTAAATGAACCATATAGCATATAGCTGCACCTTCTTCTTCTTCTTCTTTCTTCCTCCTCCTCCTCCTCCTCCTTTTCCTTTATCATCGTGTAGTTTCTCATTAATGAAAAAGTAGAATTATAAAATTTAATACGGGGAGACAGTGGACAAAAGAACAGGAGAAAAGCTCTTCCTAGAGTCCATATCTGGATGGTGGTTTTATGAATGATTGCTAAAGTGTCCTTTGTATTTCACCATTTTTTCTATGAAGTTCATGGCTTTTATTTTCACTTATAGACTCTAGAAATGTTTAGGGGAATGACCTAAACTTATTGTGTGGCTTCAAATCCCAGCTTCCCTCCCGCCTCAAGTCTGCAAACTACAGTTAAGAGCTAAATCCAACCTACTGCCCATTTTCATATGTCCTAAGAGCTAAGAGTGTGCTTTAGGTTAGTAATTGAAAAATAATGAAAGGGAAGAATATTTCACTATTTTTTTATTTTAAGTAAATGTTTTTAGACTTAAATACAAAGTAATGGGCTTTATCATTGCGTCTTCATATGTATGTGTCCTAGGGTATCCTGGTTGGTTACTGTGACAATTTGAATGTACTTGGCCCCCATAATCTCACAGGGAGTGGCTATTAGGAGGTGTGGCCTTGTTGGAGGAAGTGTGTCACCGTGGGGGTGGGCTTTAAGGTTTCCTATGTTTGGTATATGGCCTAGTGTCTCAGTCGACTTCCTGTTACCTGCAAGGTGTAGGACTCTCACCTGCAGCACCACATCTGCCTGCATGCTCCCCTGGTCCCCCCTCCCCGTGACGATAATGGGCCGAACCTCTGAAACTGTAAGCTGCCCCTCAATTAAGTGTTTTCCTTTGTAAGACTTGCTGCGGTCATGGTGTCTCTCACAGCAGTAGAAGCCCTAAGTAAGACAGTTACCCTCCCCCGCAGCCTCATTGTCCCATCCACCCTCCAGCTGATCCCCATCCTCCCTCCAGCTGATCCCCATCCTCCCTCCAGCTGATCCCCATCCTCCCTCCAGCTGAGCCCCATCCTCCCTCCAGCTGAGCCCCATCCTCCCTCCCGTTAGCTTTCTCTTGCACTTTCCATCACATATAGGGAAGGATATTTTATGACACATGAAAGTCATATGAGATTCTAATTTCAAGCTGGGTGTGGCAGCACCCCCTTGTAGCCTTGGCATTCTGAGGCAGAGACGGGGTTGCTGCAAGCTGGAGGCTGACATGGTCTAGACAGTGAGTTTCAGCTCAGCCGGGGTCAGTAGTCAGACTGTGTCTTAGAAAAAAGAAAATCTTAAGAGCAGGAAGATGGCAGAGTGGGTAAAACCAGTGTTTGGCTCAAGTCTAAGGACCCCGTTTTGGTCTTGGGGATGGTAGAAGGAGAGAAACAGTCCTTGAAAATATTCTTCTGACCTTTGCACGTAATAGTGTAATATGAAGTCTTCTAAAAAAATTAAAGTTAGCCGGGCGGTGGCGGTGCACGCCTTTAATCCCAGCACTCGGGAGGCAGAGGCAAGCGGATCTCTGTGAGTTCGAGACCAGCCTGGTCTACAGGAGCTAGTTCCAGGACAGCCTCCAAAGCCACAGAGAAACCCTGCCTTGAAAAACAAAAACAAACAAACAAAAATTAAAGTTGTAGTGTCAGAAATGGAACACAATTGCTTATGCATTGTTTAAAGCTGCTGTATGGTAATTGCAGGGGCTTGACTGATGGCTGACTTTCTTGGAGCTTGCTGTTGGATGCTACAGTCCTGGAGCTAGGTTTGTAGTGCGGTTGTAGGACTTCTGTGTGTCAAGCGAAAGGTCCTGGGTTCAATCTCCAGCCTGGGGCAGAAGCCATAACCCAATGTGTTCTCCGCCCACTGGCTAAAGACACAGCACGTGGATATTTCTGAGCCTGTCCCCTGGCAGTGGCGAGCACTGTACAGTCTGATTATAACATAGAGTGCACCGGAGGCAGTGCACACACCACGGAGAGGGTGGAGAGGGTTGTGAGGTCACGATCACACTGGGCTGTGTCCCAAGACGCTATCTCACCCCCTCCCCACAAAGACACACACGGTGATCACCACTTCCCACTCTCCAACCACACCAAGAAAACTGGCAACCTGAGGAAGTTGTGTATACAGCCATGACCCCAACATGTCCTAAATGGTCATCGTGTCCAGACTAAGGTCGATCTCATATGCAACCTGGAGCCTGTGCAGATTTAACTCTCAGAGCGAATAGGAATCCAGCCATGTCTTAACACCGGAGCTGACTGGACTTAAGGAGTGGTGGTGCTTGCTACGAGCTATGTATGTGTGGATTATTTTTTTGGTTTTTCTTCTTTTGTTTTTTTTTTGAGACAGAGTTTCTCAGCGTAGCCTTGGCTGTCCGGGAACTGGCTCTGTAGACCAGGCTGGCATTGAACTCACAGAGATCCGCCTGCCTCTTCCTCCCAAGTGCTGGGATTAAAGGTGTGTGCCCCCACCACTTTAGGAGTGGATTTTGTATCATCTAGAGTCACGTCAAGTCCTGGTTTGTTAGGAATAGCTGCGTCTCTCAACCCTTCTGGGCTGTTTTCATCTTGGAGTCCTCCAATCTCATTTTTTGTTTGTTTGGGTTTTTGTTTGTAGTGTTGTCTTGAGATTGGCTTTCTCTGAGCAGCCCTGGCTGTCCTGGAACTTGCTCTGTAGCCCAGGCTGGCCTCAGAGAGCTGTCTGCCTCTGCCTCCCAAGTGCTGGGACTAAAGGCGTGTGCCACCATCACCTGGGAGCCTCAATCTCACTTTTGAACATCAAAAGCACTGGGAAGCAACAAAACCAGTGGACATTTGGTTTTTTTAAACAAGTGGGCCTTTTAAGCAACCGATTACTGTATCCTTTGCCTCATGATGACTGCGAATCCCTGCGTGTGTCCACTGGAAGCAACCTTTGCATCGAAAGTATAAAAGCAAACCAAGAAAACACGTACTCCTGCTGTTCGCATCATGCTGTAACCAGGTTGCTCCGTATGAAGACATTCTCTGAAGGGGGAAAAAATCAAGGCTACTGTGTGTAACCCATGTGCAGTGATAAGCAGGGGCATCAGGGGCTGTGTTGTAGCCATGCTTGCCTCTGCTGTTCTCTGGAGACTGTTCATGTGCCACAGGTCATCGTCTGTCTGTGCGCTTGCAAAAGGAAAGACCTTCATCAACGGTAATGTTGACACTAAAGCTAAAATAAAATACACCGGGTACGGAGGTACGTGCCTGTGACCCCCACACTCGAGAAGCTGAGGCAGGAGGATCATGAGTTCTGAGACTAAACTGGGCTTAACAGTGAGATTTTTGTCTTAAAAAAAAGTACTCCTGCATGGTTTATAAATTGATTAACCTAACCCACTTGAGTTTTCCAGATTTCCCAGCAGCAGAGACTTTGTTATTGGGGGATAAAGCTGCATGCATGTGCAGAGAATGTACTAGCATGTTTGTACCAGCATGTGTATGTACTAGCATGTATGAGGCCCTGCCTTCAGCCTCTAGTCCCCAACCAACAAACAAAAACAAATAACTGAGAAAAAGGGAATATATATGGGAATATATATTCAAAACTGGGAGGCCTCCAGGCTTTGCTTAGCAGCGTTGTCAGTGCTTCTGGGTCACTCTTAAATTGCACATGCTGCAGCCAGGTCCTGGATTGGCAGCAGTGTGCTCTTGGTGGCAGAGCCCTGCCAATCAACGCCCTAGGCGCTGGAATGAGGCCTGGCTGTGTGGCTTATTTTGGCTGTCTGGTCCCTTCTGTTCGAATTCCAAAGAGGACAACTCTGGAGGCAAGGAAGGGAAGAAAGGAGTGTATGGGGAACACACAGGGTGCCATTGGGCATTTGGGTTGTTTCCGTGTCAATGCTCAAGATACTTCTCCCATTAAACCAGAAAGACAAAGGGAGTTTCTCCGGGGCCAGGCTCCCAATCACGCAGTCAAAATTTGGGCTCATGTCTCTGACATCTACTTAAGCTCTGCAAAGAAGTAATGCCTTATTAAAGGAAGTGAAACAATGTCCCAGTTTCTCCCAGCATAGGAAGCAAGCTGCACACAACTGTGGAGAACCAGCAAAGGTAAACAAAACTAAGAAAACAATAGACCTGCCCGGGAGACTGCGTCTAATTTATTTACTTACTTTGTAACCTTCAACTGCCTAATGTTTAGTCAAAGCACAAGGCGCCACTGGACACCTGGACAGGAGAGCACAGAGGGCAGAAGTCACACCCATTCTATCTGCAGTGCTTTGAGAGTTCTAGAAATGGGGGGGGCTCGGTGGTAAAGAACTTACTCATTGATCAAAGAGGATGGGAAGAGAGAACCAGGAACTCTGGGGACTGAGAGGCAAGGTCAGGGTGGGGATCTCTCTTTCCTGCCTTCCTTGCTTCCTAATCTGCGTGTCCTGGTGTTTGTTTGTTTGTTAAGATGGTATCCCGCTCTGCAGCACTGAAGGCTCGGTACTGGCTATATAGCTCAAAGCAGCCTCACACTCCCGACAATCCTCCTGCCTCCTGCTTCTGAAGGTTACAGGCATGATACATCACTATG